TACTGTTTTAATCAGGTGGTCGAGCATCCCCAGACGGACGTCCAGGATTAGTCTGGTAACTGGAATATTGGTTTATTTGTTGCATACCATCATATTGCGCAGGCATTTCAGAATTAGAATACTGATAAATAGTCCAGCCACCGCAGAGTCGAACGATGCAACAAATCTACCAGATGCACTAGTCTGCAGAGCTCCAGCATAATAGTGGAACCTTAAACGGTATGGCCGAAACCAGCTTATCAGTGAGCTGGACGGTTTAGAATGAAATCTAGTTTTCTGACTGACTACATGACAAACCAAGTTAAGTTCCGTNGAAGAATTAGTACACCCGCGTATACAGCAGTGCACAAACTGCCTCACAGTGAACACAGACGAGACTGTGACGGAAGTCATGATTAATCAACTAGTAACCCCACGAGTGCTCTGGAAGTGCAAGTTATGGAACGACTCAGCTTTCTTGCATTTAACGAACGCGAAAATGGTCGACGGGATCTATCCGACCCCACAAGGCTACTCAATGTTAACTGACAAGAACCACTCGTTTGCTGGAAACACTGCCATAACTTCGACGTAGAAATTCAATGAGGTTAATAGAATCACCAGAATCAATGGCAGAGAGCCATGCGCCGCACTCAATCACGATGACAGATTTGACAAACACGTCACAACTTCACGCTTGTCGCTGAGAGATTCAACTGGATGAGGAACCAGAGTATATTCGTTAAGGATGAACGATCTAGCTGTTGTTCACTGCGACATGAACTAACAACAATCAAATAGGCGACGGACAGAAAATTACGAAGTTTTCCTCGGAAAGCGAACTGTGCTTACAATGAGTGTTCGGAAGCTTCAGTATGGGTCGTGATTGATTATCTCTTGCAAAAGCGTCTCCATCTCTGCCAACGTAACCAGCCCCTCTTGGCTGCCTTTAGTCTTCCCCAAACCAGGTGAAAGGATAAGACACCGACATCCAGGTGCTGTGATGCTTTACTGGCAAGAGTTGAAAGAACCCTCGATTCCAAGCCAATTCAAAATCCAGCAGCACACCGGCTTTGCTGGGCACTTTGAACGTTAGATCCCATTTAGTGGACACCGATCAAAAAAGATAGCATCTCTGACACCGCCTAAATACCTTTTTGGTATCGAGTTCCGGCTAGCCGCAAGGTAGTTCTGGACCCAAGAAATTTCCCCTAGCTAGACCTCGAACACCTCATGGCATCCCGGTCATGAGCAGATCATAGACGCACATTTTGGTTAAAGATTGTGGGCGCGCAGTCTGGACTCAAGTAAATGGCAAATAACACCCGAGGTTTATTCAAAACACAAGTGTTGAGCAATCGTATCCAATATTAACATCCTCTGGGCTGGTCACAACAGCCGCTCATAAGCATTAAGCCAAAAGAAAGATTCCGAAATACAATTTTATTAACAACCAAATGCAAATGGACTGTGACAATATGGGCAACATAATAACGGTACTATTGCGATGTGGCTATAAAATGTAACCATGGAAAGGGCTTAAAAGTTGCGGTTGAACAAACATACAGACATCGAAGAATGAAGGATACAAAAATCTGTCACGCGGTCTCATAGCATAGAATGAATATGAACAAAGTGAACCCAAATAACGCACGCACTAGTTCACACAAAATGAGTGAGGCCACGGTGGAAACGAATGGAACATACTGAGCACCGGTGCACGGGACGAGTCCATTTGTTACAAGCCGTTTCAGTCCAACATGAAGCACCGATATACAGTTAATTCTTAGAAGTTGCTCAAGTACCGAAGTGTTTACACAACGAGGGAATGAGTGGGGATATGTGGGCAATGTAGGCAGTAGGAAGCAGGATGAATAGGTACTTAGACTTGTTTCAGAGGATGTGTGGTGTTCCAACAAACAGCATAATGCGATCATAGGAAACGGGGAAAGGGATTGCTGCTGCCCAGCGTATGCCAAGCACGTGTGGTTACCAGAGGTAACGAAACATTACTTGAATAAAAACGTCGTTTTGGATGGAAATCAAACTTGAGGGAAGCCGAGAATGACTACTGTTGTACGGGATCGGATACGATAGTATCTGCGGTGCCATCACCGGCGGCGGGAGCGAGGACAGGCTGCGCGGCCACATCAGCCGCTGCTGCAGGGACCTTTGTTTGGACTTCCGGTTCGGCTGCTGGAGCTAGTTGAGTTGAAGAGAATGGGCGAAGTTTAATGTGTAAATCACCTGTGGGCTGATAGCAAGAATTCGCAACGAGTATTGTAAAAAAAAAGATACAGCTAAAGCCTGCGTAAATCAAAACGACCTTAGCAGCAAAGACCATCATCCACCAAGCATTCCTATGAGTGCGGAAAAAGAGGCGCAGCCCGCACGCCATTTCTACCACCTATTGCAAAAACCCACAGAACAAAATAAGAAACACTGGTAAAACGATCTGGATTGCAACAGATTCATCATGATGTGCGAACCAAAAGACGGTACTTACCCGGCTCCGGATGATGATTGCTGTCTCCGTTGACAGAATTTTCAACAGGAGTTTCAGTCACGCTTGGGGCAGCTGTACTGTTTGATGTTTGGGTCTCTGGTTCCTCGGTAGTCGGTTGCTTTACTTCGACGCTGGTAGCTGAAGGCAGATCGTCCTTGTCCACCTGTACAAAGCCAACTAAAAGTTGACCATCCTCACCCTGCACTGAAACTGCAGCGCGAACTTCGGCACTGTCCGGGGGAGGAACGTCACTCTTCTCTACTACTTCAAAGTCCATAGCCTCCTTAGCTGATGGCTTATCATGTTCAGGCGCTGGGACTTCCGGTGCAGGAACTTCGTTTTTCGGGGCATCTACCAAGATAGTATTGAACAAAACAAGCTTACCACCGTTTTCTTCATCAACCTTGGCCTTCTTGGTTGGTATTTCTTGACTATCCACGACAGATTCACGGTCTTTTGAGGAACTAGTTTCAAGACCATTCAACTCTTCAACACTACTTTCACTCTTTATTTGTGACTGCTGGGACTCCGTATCCTCTGATTGAGCCTTGTTGGCCTCTGTTGACTGTTTCTGAATAGGTTAACTACAAAACAGTTATGGCATACCTTTCGCCTCGGCGACTTGGCAGGCGATTTAGCAGGGGAAGCAGCTTGCACAGCGGCTATCCGAGCGCTTTGACGCCTCGGTGGTGGATTTTCATCAGATTGTGCGTGACCGGAACGACGAGGCATAGCTGCAAACCAATGTTCATCTTTATGTATGATCAACACAATGAGAACTGTCTTTGCTTATGGTGGCTTCTCGTAGATACCTTTATACAGCAAAGGTGATCCCTACTGTGAAACGAATAAGTATGATGGTTAACAAAAGAAACAGAACGGCACAGGGGATGCCAATTTTCATGACCTCGACACAGTTTTACCTAAGAAACCTATAAACAAACATTCCCGGATGACTGGAACTATCGATCATCTTTACTGACTGTTATATCCGCGGATCTGGGGGTCATGTAGAAATCAAACGAGAACCAGAAAGGTAAAAGATATTAACACTCAACAACAGAATACACCTTGGGGGAACTGTGATTTAGGCAGCTGCAGGAAGCAACCGAGCGGGCACATATCTTGAGAGTAATATACTGAATTTCTACGACACAATAACATGCTGAACTTGGAAAAACCACCAACAGAGTCACGCAAGTCACCTCCCACTTTCACTCTCACTGATGTAAATAAACACATCAAAATTGCGAACACTGACAGTTAAAAACATGGTCACCGTAAGGCAAACACTTTTGGTTCGCATGAACACGGAAAAGTGAACTATTTACAGCCAAGAAAACAAGTTAACAACGGACAAGAAACAAAGAGGAAGACAAATGCGATTGACATTTTCTTAAAACATTGACCCAAGACAGAAAAAACGATGAGGAAGAACCTGGAAAACAACGTAACCCACCAATGGACTACAGCGCGAAGTGCGGGATATGAAAAGTATTTTAAATCGTTTAAAACAAAAATACCGCTTTTGGTACAAAACCAACGATGACTAGCCTAATCAAGTACCATAATATCTTTCATTACTCTAGTTTCATGCACTTTCGATCTAATTTGTTGGTTTGCAGTCATACAACTGAATACAATCGTAAAAACTGATGGCGCGCTTTATGAACAGTTGCTTTGTAATTACAGAGAAAACGGAACGTAAGGGTTCCAACCAAAATTCATTCCCTTTTAATGTCATTCCAGGTCCAGCAAATTATCAGTGGGTGGGATCGAAACAACCATGGTCAAGAGACAATCGTTAATTGCATTGAACCTTGATTCCCCTTTGGATTCCGTGTTTTCAATTGAGTTCAAGTTCAAATTCCAATCACAAGAAGGAAAGCGCCCTTGGCCTTTTGAGTGTCATGATGATTTCAGGTTCCGTCCGTGGACCGAAGCTCCTTCGACTGTAATGCTTCTTCCGACTCTCCACAAAACGTGTAATATCTGTAGGTGGAATGGAAAGTGAGACGGCACAGTATCTTTTACGTGCATTTCATCAGTAAAAAAGAACCATGATCGCTAGGGCAAATCTGGGAATAAGGTATGTCATACCTTGTGCAGCTGTATTTTGAAACCCATCGTTCTGGGGCGTTCAGCTATTTGAGGTGGTAATTTGTTCCATGTAGGAACTATTCTATTTGTAAAGAAGTGGTGCCTGATTGCTATTCTGCTCCTGGTTCTCTCAAGTGTGTAACAGTTTAGTCCCTCCCAGTAGTTGCGTTCTTTTGGATCTCAGACCATCCGGGTTACTAGTCGCTGAACATTTCCTAGGACTTTGATGTCCCTTCGAGTATACGGTGCTCTGACAGTACTCTAGGTAAGGCCTCATGGTACCTGCGTACAGGAGCATGAATACACCAAGGCAATGGTTTGTGATTGACGTTCGGAGTCTAAACAGAGCTCGCTTTCAGAGTGCTGCTTCAGTGGTAGAAGACGGCAAAAAGGTGTTGGAAACTATTATCTCGAGATCCAATGCTTCTGATTTGTAAGCTCCTTCCGGATAGTGGCGTAACATCCAAACTATGAGATCTAAATCTTTTTTTAAAAAGGATGTTGAATTCAGTTGAAATTGAACATATTTTATCAAATATTCTACCAGGACCATCAGGTCACGTTTACTGCGGTTATTCGCATCTAATCCACCTACAAAACATCGAATCATAGCATTGATTCTTCATTGAACTCGCTCTGAAAGAGCTGTCTATCCAGTGGTCACCTGCTGTTGCAAACAAGGTTATTGTGACGAAAAATATTTTGATTTTAGTTCAATTCGTGTTAAAATTAAATTCGTTTTAATTAGCCCTTAGTGACTTTGTCCGCAAAGTATAAACACCGCAATGCAATGTCGCAGATCGCCCCCACCATGGCGCACGTTGACGATACAATCGTTTTTGAAAGAATGGTAAAAAATTGCTATGGGTCGCTAGATGGACTCTTGGAGGACTTCTGCGAATTTCAAAGGGTCACGTGCAAGTCACCCTACGTTTATGCATTAATGACCGCCAAGCAACTGATACGAGTAAGTTTTGCCGGAAACTGACGCTGCCTGAGGGTTTTCCATACTACTTCAGCAAATATTGCTAGGTACATCATCGAAGGCTTGGCGCAGCTGCAACCAGGTGATTGTAGCTCTCATTTATAATGTAGTTAACCCGTTTTTGACTGAAAAATATCGCCTGTGCGGCATTCGTTGGAATTCGCGTGATCAGGAAAGAGTTCTGAGTGGTGAAACGTTATCTGGTGCAAAATTAGCTAAGTTCTCACAGGACGAATTGTGGCTCTGGCCAATCGCACGTCCAGTTCCTTGCATTGTCGGCGGTTTCGTTGGCTTCCAACACTTCGAGTCAACAGTATTTTCTGAAAGGCAGAATGTTAGTGTACTGTATCAGATCCCTTGCAATGTTTCGGAATGTAAAGCTTAACGATTGACGTTCAACATTCAACTTCGGGAAATACTACTGCCCAGCATTCGTCTAGCTTTCCTTTGAAAGATTCGACATTAATACAGTTATCCGCCCTTCAGGTAATTTATTCCACAGTGGTATAGCTCGTAGATTCATTCTACAATGACTTCTTTCCAGTCTAATTTGATGCCCCCTCGTGTCCCTAGCAGGAAAACACTAGAATAGGTCTTTGAATTTTGGATCCGATAGTCCTTTGACAATCTTAAATGTCTCTATAAGGTCGCCCAGCAGTCGTCTGCGGGCCAAAGAGAACAAGTCCAGGTCCCTCAGTCGTTCGAGGTATCCCGTACCTTTCTGGCCTGCTACAATTCTACTTGCTAAGCCCTGTACTTTCTCAAGACACCGTTCATCCTGTTCACAATAAGGCTCCCATGCTTGCACGCAATATTCTGAATGAGAACGCTCTATAGTTTTGTACAAAGCTGCGAAAACCTCGGGTCTTCTACAACAGCGCACAATCTGAAAAGTTCGTGTCCAGTTTTATCAGCCGCACGCTTGCACTGCGTGGATGGAAAAAGTCATTTGTTATCCTTACCCCTAGATCGTTTTGTGATGGTTTTCAACAGCTTTTGTACACACTACTTATCTAATTTCATTATCTTCCTTTTCTTATTTCTTGTTTCTCTTTTATGAACTCAACAATTGACAGTTGTTTTAACCGGCGTCCTCATTACCCACCCGGTATCTTTGCGGTCTATCTCCGTGATTTGCTCTATTGCTTGTCGTTCGGTAACTGGGACCTACGACGGTTTCGTAAGTCGCAAACATGTTTGTATGTATGCCTATATTAGAAACGAAATTTCAACTGTCGTTCATCTGTTTTCCTACGTGCTGGAAATTTGGTCAGTCGAAGTCGAGACATTGCGATTTGTATTGAACGTCATTTGTATTACCGTTACAGTTTGAAAGCGTGGTCAAATTACGTTCGGTGAGCTCTTCTACAAATTTCTTCTTGGTCTCCAATATTTTGTTCTAGAATTGAATTTAATGTCGTGTCAACCTGGTCAATCAACCTCAATCAGACTATCNNTCCTCTGGAGAAAAAATGGTGAAGAAACCACCATCGTTGAGGACTCGAGTGCTGCGCTACTCTTAGAAGGATCGCACCGCAGCTTGAGGTCTGCAATGAAAAAAGCAGAAGTAGAAATACGGTTGTTGAGGGATAGACACAGATTAGANCGTCCTCCGACAAAACCTGTGTGAGACCGAGGCTAAGGTGGCTCCTGCAGAGATGGAGTGCAACAGCGATGAAGAAGACGCAGCATCCCGGTGTTCTACGACAAGCTACAAGGAAAGAGTAGAAACGTATCTACGAGAGAGTGTGCCCGAAGTGAAATTTAGTAGGGGCGTGAGAGTAGTACCCCCACCTTGGTATGACAGGCTTCACGGCTTAGAACTCCCGTGGATAGAGGTTAATCGCCCCTGGGGCCCTCAACGTAACACGCATTTGAACGTCACTACAACTAGACAAACATCAGAATCATTACAGAACTTTCAGTGCTATTTGTGTCGGAAATCACACCTACTTACTAAATGTGAAGATTTCCTTAGGCGGGTAGTGGTGCAGCGACGGAAAACTGTGGAGAAATCAAAGTTTTGTTATAAGTGTATTAAATATGGACACCTGACGCGGACATGTGAAAAAAATGGCCAATGCTTGTTTGATGGTTGCACCGGCAAGCATCATAGCCTGGTCACTTGTCACGTAGGGATCAAGTGTCTGCGAATGTGTAAGCAATCGTGGGGGATTTCTGTTCTTCACCGAATGATATTACTTACCTCGGAATAGTCCTGGTAAAAATGATGCACGGCGACAAATCGTTGAAGGTATATGCCTTGCTAGATAGCGGTTCGGATACCATAATAGTTAGTAAGGAAGTTTCCGAACTGTTAGGGCTAAGTGGCCCGGGAGTACGAATGAACGTCCACACCGTAGCTGGAGAGCGAAATACAGTTAGTCAAAGGTATCATTCGAAGTTAGCCCCCTTAGGGATGATAAAGGCATTAGGG